GAAATAAACGCTGTTCTTGTGCAAATTTTTGAAAGGCGATAGATGGGTCCTCAAAGGCATGTGGAGGTAGCACTTGACTCCCTAAAAACACCCGTCAGGCTTCGTCGCGATCCGATGACGTTAAGGTGGATTACAGGTAAACCAGTTTTCAGATTCGGCATTTGACATGCTAAAATTGCACTTTACAACTACAGGCCTATCACTGAAGCTTCAGATGAATACCATATCACTTTTATTAGATTCAGAAGGTTCGAAAACTCCCAAAATCAAATTTTAGCTCATTCGAATACTTCTGGACCATTTTGTGGCAAACTTACACACTGTTTTGGTACACCCTCGGTGAACTAGTTTCCATAAATGGAAACTGGGTAATGTGATTTCATGATCACTTTTGAAAAGGCCATAACTTCTTCATAATAGGTCAAATCAAGCTTAAATTTCAGAAGGACCTTCGTCTCGTCGGCGCGTATGTTTTGATATATGGCACGGCCCATGACGCAATCGAAGACGAAAGAAATCTTAGAGAGAAGTTGCTTAAAAAAACTCATGTTGTGCAGATTTTTGCAAAGAGGAGATCTCTTCAATCAAACTGTCATATCACGAAGCCTGGCCTTGGATCGACTTGAAAATGGGTCCATTGCGACCGTGACATTGAGGGCTTCGATCCAAAGTTAATATCATATGTGATAAGTGAACCAAAAGGCTATATTTTTAGGTTGCAAGAAGAAGTATTTTCTGACGATCGGAATCCATATTTCGGCAACTTCCCCAATTTAGAAAGTGGCTATCCGGTCATCAAATCAAGCCATTATTGTCACCAAACGACCGTGACAGCTTCCCCATCATTCCACAATGGAACGATCAAACTAAAACATTAAGAAATAGACAAGATCCAAGATCTAAGATTGCAAAGTCCTCATCTTTTAACTGATTTTGCCAAGAGCTCAACACTTCGATTCGAAGATCAAAAGATATGTCAAAACGATCACCTAGTCGAGACCATCACTTTCGCGGTAGGTCTTTTCCCTAGAAGGTTGATGGAATGACCTGAAATGGGACTCGGATGACCACCATAGCCTATGGACACTATTTGGGGACCATCTTGCCATTTTCGAGATTGTGGGTGGGGGCAAAATTGGCATTTTACCCGAAAAAAGGGATTCAAATTTAAATCATAGAAAATGTATTATTTAACAATTTAGGTTAGTTTTGAGTATCCACCCTTGTTTCAAGGGGGTACTATGTAATCATTTGTAACCCTAATTTCAAAAAAGAAAGGGAAGATTAATGAGATTTGGCCCATAAGCTCAAAAATCAATTGAGTTTCCCTTGGTTTGCAATATTTTTCTCTACCCCTTTCACCCAAAAAAAGGAGAGAGAAAACTTTCCCCATAAACCACTACCCCTAACTTCTCACTCACAACTTGGAATCCTTCACTTCCCCTTTGGAACTCTTCATTCCCAATCTAGCCACCAGTTCGGTCCAAGACGCCTTTCTCTTTCTCTCATCTAGTCTTCTCTTTCTCTCTCTCTCTCCCCCTCATGCCTAACCGGGTCGGTGGCCCTTCTCCTCTCTCTCGGTATCTATCTCTCTTTTCTCTCTCCTCCCTCTCGGTTTCTCTCTTCTCTCTCCCTCTCTCTCTCTCTCTCTTTCTCTCTTTAAGCCCAATCGGACCAACTTGCCTAGCCGCTGTCCCACCACCTTCTTCTTCTTCTCTCTCTCCTCTCTCTCTTGATTTCTACGTCTCTTCTCTCTCCTCTCTCTCTTTTCCCCCTTTTCATCTCTCTCTAAGCCTAATCAGGGTCGTCGGCCCACCACCTTCTTCTCTTTCTCTCTCACACTCTCCTTCTCTTTTTCAGTTTCTCTCTTTTCTCTCTTAGTTTCTCTCTTCTCTCTCCCCTCTCTCTGTTTTCCCCCTTTCCTTCTCTCTTTCTCTCTCTAAGCCTAATCGGTAGCTACCGACCCACCACATACTTCTTTTTCTCTCTCAGTTTCTCTCTCGCTCTCCTCTCTCTTTCTCTCTCAGTTTCTCTCTCTTCTCTCTCCCCTCTCTCTTTTCTCCCTTTCCTTCTCCCTTTATCTCTCTCTAAGCCCAATCAAGCTGGTGGCTAGGCTGCCGACCCATCACCTTCTTCTCTTTCTCACTCACTCTCTTCTTCTCTCTCAGTGTCTCTCTCTTCTCTCTCCTCTCTTCTTCAGCCTACTCGAAACAGTGGCTAAGCCGCTGGTCCCCTCTCTCTTCTCCCTTTCTATCCCTCTTTCTCTCTTTCTCTTTTCCCCTTTCCTTCTTTCTTTCTCTCCTTCTCACTCTTGCCCTAAGCTTAATCGGGCCGCTGGCCCACCACCTTTTTCTTCTCTTTCTCTCTCACTCTCTCCTTTTCTCTCTTGGTTTCTCTCTCTCTTTTCCCCCTTTCCTTCTTTCTTCTCTCTTCTCTCTCTTTCCCTAAGCCTAATCGGGCCGTCGGCCCACCACCTTTTTCTTCTCTTTCTCTCTCACTCTCTCCTTTATCTCTCTCTTCTCCATGTTCTTCTCTCTTTTTCTCTCTCCCTCTCCATCTCATTCGGCCTACTTCACCGCCGGTCCCCTCTCTTTTCTTCCTTCTTCCCTCGCTCTCTCTCTTGATCGAGCCACCGGCCCACCCCTCTTCCACTCTTCTTCCCTCTCTCTCTCTCTCTCTCTCTCTCTCTCTCTCTCTCTCTCTCTCTCTCTCGAGCTGAGGCCCTCTCTCTCTCTCGACCGAGCCGGAGCTGTCGGCTCCTCCCCTTCATCTCCCTTTCCTCTCTTTTTCTCTCTCTCCCTTCCACTAGGTTCCTCTCTCTCTCTTCCTCACTTCTCTCCCTCTCGCTTGCACTCTCTCGCTCTCTCTTCCTCTCGTTTTCTCTCTTACTCTCTTTCTCTATCTCGCTTTCACGATCTCTTCTTCTTTCTCTCTCCTCCTCTCGATATCTTTTCTTGCTCTCTCGCTTTCACTCTCTTACTCTCCCTCTTGCGCTTTCTCCCTCTCTCTTTTTCCTCCTCTCGGTCTCTCTCTTGTGCTCTCTCTCACTTTCTCTTCATCTCAATTTCTCTCTCTCTTCCTCTCTCTTTCTCCTCCTCTCGATCTCTTTCTCTTGCTCTCTTTCTTTGTGTCGCTTTCACCCTCTCGTTATCTCTTGTGCTCTCTCTCTCGCTCTCTCTTCCTCTCGATCTCTCTCTTGCCCTCCCTTTGTTGCGCTCTCTCCCTTCCTCTCGCTCTCTCTCTCTCTCATCTTTCTTATTCTTTCATTCTATTTCACTCTCTTATCCCTTTCCCTCTTCTCTTAAAACCCTTTTCTCCCATCTCTTATAAATCCCTCCTTTTCTCACATGTATTCATTAATAATTTCTCTCATAAGAGAGAGACAACTAGAAACTTAGCTTGACCTGAGGTAGAAAGATACGTTCCATTTTTTCTATCCCCATATCCAAAGCAAAGATGATAGTCCCACCCCATTCAGGGGAAATTTCATAACTAACCCCACCCATGCAAATTTCCAGACATGGATCATCGTAGGGCTATAAACCTATTATCAACACCCGGTGGGCCGAGTTGAACAGGGCATGCTTGTCATTGATCATCGAATTGAACATGGATCATGAGAAACTTTCGCTTTTTTTATTTATTTCCCTTTCTTTCTCCCATGGTTAATCTGTAAATGAATGAGAGGGATTAAGAGGTTTAAAGACATTCAGACAAAGAGGGAATGAAAACCCAATATCTCTTTCTCTCTCTAGAAACCCAATTTGTTTCTCTCTCTGAAAACCATTCTCTCTCTAGAAGCTCAATCTGTCTTTTTCTTTCTAAACACCTACTCTCTCTCTAAGAACCCAATATCTCTTTCTCTCCTTAGAAACCCAATCTCTCTCTCAAAAAACTTATGCTATCTTTCTCTCTCGAAAAACCCAATCTCTCTTTCTATATCTAAAAACCCAGTCTCAGTCTAGAAACCCTCTCTCTCGCTCTCTAGAAACCCATTCTCTCTCTCTAGAAACCCAATTTTTTATGATCAAACCCATTTTTTCTCTCTTTAAAAACCCAATCTCTCTTTTGTCTCTCTAAAAACCCATTTTCTCTCTAGAAACATAATCTCTCTCCCCTAGAAATCCAATCTATTTTTCTCTCCCTAGAAACTATTCTTTCGCTAAAAACCCATTCTCTCTTTAGAAATTCAATTTCTCTTTCTCTCTCTAAAAACTCATTATCTCTCTAAAAACTCAATCTCTCTCTCAAAAACCAATCTCTCTTACTATTTCTAAAAACCTATTTTTGGGCTAAAAACTCATGTTCTCTCTCTCTAAAAACTCATACTCTCTCTAAAAACCCATTACCTCATTCTCTCTTTAAAAAATATGAATCTCTCTCTAAAACCCATTCTCTCTCTCTAGAAACTCAATCTCTTTTTCTCTCCCTAAGAACTTTCTTAGTTTATTTATTTTTGGCTTACTACCAAAAAAAAGTTTAAAGAGTGAGAAAACAAAAAAAAGGAAGAAGAAAAAAAAATAGACAAAATAAATAAGTTTCTTAATGGGCTGTCTTGGGCTTGGCGCAGCCTAATAGTGTCTTAGCGGCTGGGCGGGGTTCCATGGTTACTTTCCCTGGCAGTGTCTTACCAGGTCTCGGGCCTGGCCCGTTGACAGCCCTGCATACACATAATTTGCATTTACATTTGAAACGAATTTGCTTTTCAAAAAGCCCAAACGCCAATCTAACCCAATTCCATTCACCCCCGTAATAATGTCAACATGTGAAAACAACATTCTCCAAATTGCAAAAAGGTGCGGAGATGCGCTGAGCGCGCTTTTCCCTTTGTTTGTTGGGTGTGGTTTTCAGTAACCACTTTTAAATTTTATCATATAGCATGTAATTTTGATGTAAAATATTTTAAGATTATCTCAAAATTTATTTTTATATTTATTTGTAAAATTTTAAATTTTAAAAATAATAAAAATCAAATAGATGTATAATATTGTCAAAATCTTGAAAATAGATGGTATAAATAAAGCGTCGTATCTCCGTTTTTCAACATTAAAACTAGTCATATATATCCGTTTTTCGACATTAAAACAACATTTTTCGATAGATTTTTGAAACTAGTCATATATATCCGTTTTTCGACATTAAAACAACATTTTTCGATAGATTTTTGAGGTTTAAGGTTACCTCATATAAACTTTTCCTTGTTTTGTTTGCATAACCTCTGCAGTTCTACCAGAGAGAGAGAGAATGAGAATGCTATTATGCAGTTGGATTTACAGATTGGAAATAGTGGAGTAGAAAGATGCCAATTTGCTTGTTTGAGAGAGAGAGAGAGAGAGAGATGCCATTTTCCTTGTTAGAGAGAGAGAGATGCCGACGGGGGTACACTGAAACAAGAAAGAAGGCATTGTTGTTTCGCTCGTGGTATTAGAATGTGAGGCCTTTGGAGCCCTATTTCTTGCTGTAAAAGGAAGCATAATTATGGAGGGGCAAAGCATGAGTGAAAAACTTCTTTTCACTTTCCTCAAGGCCAAGGGTAAGATAAGATTTTCTGTCCTCTTTTGTTGATTCAAACTCATCTCTTCAAATGGATAAGCCGTTGCCTTGCGCCTACGAATCATAATGGGTATCATTTCTTGTTTTATAGCGCTTCAAATTGTTTGAATAGTGGAGAATCTCTCTAATTCAAGGCACCAACTTTCTTTCCACTTGTAATTGACCTTGCATCTAGAGAGAGAGAGATGTTTTCAGACTAGAGAGCGAAAATGCCTTATTCTGGCTGTCTTTTGGATGCAGTCATCCCTAAGGAAGGCACAATAATTACCAGTAATTATTAACTGTCTTGGTGGTTCTTTATTTTTGAACTCTACTAAGGCTCTGCGTCATTTGTTCTGAACCAGAGATTGCTAGTACCATTTTCTCTGGCGAACTTCATTTCAATGGATTCTTTCGCTGGGAGATGGGTAATGGCGTTTTTCCTGTGTGGCACTATTGTTGCCACATCATATGCAGGTTACTATTTTCTCCTCTTTTTCTTTTCTGTGTATTCTTTTGTTGTAGTGTATTCTTTACCATTTATGAGTAGTTTTTTAACATAAATCTTTAAAATTCTTGTCGAATTTGAATTATATGACTTTTGGTTAACAGATATGCAAAATGGGATGCCTGAAGTCAGAGGGGTAAACTTGGGTGGATGGTTAGTAGTAGAAGGATGGATAAAGCCGTCTCTTTTTGATGGCATTCCCAACAGTGATATGCTTGTAAGTTTCTATACATTATTTCAATAATGTGTCTTGTCTCTCTCTCTGAAGTTTTTGGGCAATTCCTTCAATCTAACATGGTCTTATCTTTATAGATAAGATGGTTTAGCTTTTCTTTCATTGTGGATTTGTCTGATTCATCTGTATCTAACTTTGTCTAATATTTGAGGGAGTGCTTTGATTTTCCAAAAACTTTCCTAGATTTGATAATGTTTCCTTTGCCACAATGTGGGTTAATCTCATGTTAGATTGGGATCTAGGATGGAACAAAGGTGCAGTTTAAATCCACATCTCTGCAAAAGTATGTTAGCGCATTCAATGGCGGAGGGCAGAATGTAACATTCGACCGAGACATTGCTTCTTCATGGGAAACCTTCAGGGTACTTGACATATTCCTTTTCTCAATTACGTCTTTCATACTAGCTTCGCAACCTAATGCTTATCTCCATAGAAATTTCTATAATTTCAACATGAAAGTGTTCTCTTGTTGAGTATAGTTGAAGAACATATCTTCAGGTAATTCATATATGGGACATGATAGAATAAACTGCTTTCCTTTTTGTATCTTGAAAACGACCTTGGCTTTATGCCGGTCATATTGAAGGGCTTATTTGCTAGTTGCTAGAAATCCTTTTATTTAGAAAAGAACGAGGCAAGATGTATGACAAAGTCATAGTAATTAATTTTTTTTGGATAAAAGTAAATTTTGACTTACATTAATTCACTAGTATGCCAAAACGAAAAATTTGTTGCACAAAATTGTCGTAGTTGAGTTAGTAGCATTACTCTAGAAAATACTGAGTTCTAAATACTAATGATCAATATTGATTTAGTCACTGGATCATTATGTAACAAAACCGACAATAGAATGCTCTTCCAAATCTGTCAGATCTAGACATCGTAAGCATAAAATATTGCAATAAGACCTTTTGAAATCCATGACCTGGAGAGTTTGTGAACCTAGATGGTTTCTCTATGCCATCACCATCACCATAATTTCAAAAGACTGGAGCATTTCCTGTGAGACATGGAGTCTAAGATTGGCTTCCACCAAGACCCCTCAGGCCATTACCTGCAAAGCACAACATAGAACCCATGGCCCAAGACAGGTGCACCTAGAAGGAATTGCAATAGTTACCCCTCGTAACATAGAGGGGTGGTAACATAAAATCCAAAAAGGGGCCTAGACAAGTACCCCTCAACTAACCTAGAATGGCAAGACCTATACCACCGTTATTCGCCCAAATATAGTTGTTGGGTTCGGGAGCATGGGGTCATGATAGGCTAGAAGCTCCCATAGTTGGGATCGTTTTCTCCATATCAACATATTGGGGAGCTGAATCTCAACTTTTTGGGGCGACCTATCCGGTGAAAATATCTCTGTTCTCTTTAAAAATATACAAACCATTATTTTGCAACATAATTACTTTTGTTTTTTTTATTGGATATGCATTTAAGACTTTTTTCCTCATAAAAAATCAATCTAACATGTATGCAATTTATATCAACCAATTACTAAGCGATTCGGAACATGTTCACTCAATATGGGAGCAAGATCCACCCAAGGTCTAGCCTTGGGAGTGTGGGATTGCTGGGATCATCCCCAAGTTGGGAGAACCTTGTAACTATGACCGAAACCTAGACAACATGTGCATCATAGACATTAACCCATTCAGCTCTTCTCCCCACAAATCCCCTTCTTAGAAACAAAAAGCCAACAAAAGCCACAATGTAGCATCATCAACAGTGACGGTAACCCCAAGCATCAAGTTCAATGAAGCTATCTTTGTTGAGAGAGTATGGTTTCTAAAATCTACATTAGTTGGAAGCTACATTCCATGGATATGGGTACAAGGTAGTCGATTCTTCGAGCCCGAAAAAGTAGGATTCAGTTGCATGGCTATATATAAACGCACACACACACACACATATTTATTATTGAATGCAGAGTGTGGTCCTTGATAGAGTATAATGGTGGATCGGGATTTGCGTGGCCGACCCCAAATAGTTGGGAAAAGGCTTTGATGATGATGGTGATGATATTGAATGCAGAGTATGAAAAAGAAATAGTAAGTGCTTCTTTTCTCAATTCACAAAACAGAAAAAGTCTAGTGCTTGTTAATGAATGCATGGTTAAAATTGAATGAATTCTAATTCTATTTATGTGATTGATAAAAAAAGCAACTAGTTCTTTCTAGTATTCTTGAACTTGAAGAATCCAGAAGAATCCGTACCCGTACGTGTGTCCATACATCTTCGAGATGGGTAGGGGACCCTTGTCGAAGAATCTATGTAACATAGGTTAGAAGGTTTAACCAGCTAGATCAGATCTAAATGCTATCTTTGATTTTTTTTTTTTGGGTAATTCAGTGGGGATGACGAGCCCCTACCCGTTTTCTAAATCATTAGCGGTTTTTGAAGGCGTTAGGTGAGAATGGAAGCCTAGACCTTAGCTGGGGTACAAGTGGTGCTACCACTACCACCACGACCCCAACCCCTTTCTCAATGCTAGCTCTAATTGATCCTATAGAGTTTGGCAATTGCTGGCTCCAATCTCATGCCATATGCTATCTATATAGACCATGTCTTCAAAGTCACTACTATCAGCCTATATAGATGGACTCCATAGATATTGACATACATAAGATGGTCAACAAGTATGGATTTTTTCCACGGTTATAACTTTTGATGCATGTTATGTGGATGCTTTCAATGTAGGGTGTTGTTTGCGGTGGGACCAATGTTGTTAATACTGAACTGTTGGCCAAGCCATTGAAGGCATCGTTCTGCTCACATTGGACCGGTTCACTGGTGATACCAGTCAAATAAAAAGAAATAAAAATAAAATAAGGAAAATAAGGGAAAACTGAAAAAAAGGAGAGATTAGGTTAACCATAAAAAAATGCATTAAATGAGAAAAAATAAAATGCATGAAAAATTGAAAAAAACCATCTTTCAAAACTCTCATAGTTCCATTGAACTATTAAAGTGTTAAAGAACAAAATATATAGCAAAAAATTAAATGACAGCAAAAAGCTGCAAAAAAAAACTAATATTTATATACAAAAATTGGAAGCCAATGCATGTAAGCTACCAAAGAAGCAAAAACTAACAGGATAAAGCTAAAGCATCCATTAAATTGAATACAAGATACAACCTATTGCATTGTTTTTCTTTTGTGGGGTGGGGGGAATCATTTCTTGTATAAACCTTAGAAATCCGTTTATTCTATTTCTTCCAAACGTAAAATGAAAAGACCAAAGAAGGATGTAATAAACTTACCTGAGGCTTAATAAGGCGTATTGCTGGCTGAAATGCTCCCCGAAAGTTGCTAGGTTCTCGCCAACAAAAATGGGGGCTTTCCACTGGCCCTTTACCCAGAGAGAGAAAGAGATGTCCCAAATTAACTCTCTCTTTCTCTTAACAAACCCCCTTTTTAACCGCAAAACCATCCCAAATATAAAAAATGACCTAAATCCTCCTATTCTATTTAAAAAGGACAAAAGAATCATAAAAAATGAAAAATTGGAATTTTTCAAGGGATTTTTTTGTCAAAAAGAGTCCTGGACAAGCCATTGGTTCACTGGTTCCAGTTTGAACAGGCCGGTCCTATTTAGTCTTGACCTCTTTTTTACCTTTTTTTTATTGTTGGGGTTGGGGGGAGATCAAACTCAACTAGGAGTCTATAGCTGCTTAATGGTATGGAAAATGAGGATTAACATAGAAGCGTTAAATCCTCCATCCATTCGAACTTCTGTTGTGCCTAAAGTACACAGCAGAGAATAGGATAGGATATCTCTGTGGAAGTTGAAAACATGAACAACCCAGTTGTTCCCCTCATCCCAGCCCAATCCCACCCCCTCTGTCCCATCCCCAGCCAAATGTAAACCAACAACAAAAGCTTTACCGCACCAAACACAAAGCGGAAATTATGAAGATTGCGGGACACTTCTTTGAGTCAGGTATGGCTGGTGGTGGTTGGAAAAAGTGGTAAAAGAACTCAAAAAAGAAACCAGGAACGAGAAGGTGTGACATTTCGGTCGAGTTAGAGAACCAACAATCTGACAAAGATGGTCCCAGTCAGTAGCTTCGCTGGCTGACAAATGGCAAAGGAACTGCTCCTTGCCTAAAAAGAAAAAAGAAAAAAAGAAAAAAAAAGAAATGCTGAACCTCCAAATTTTATAAATTCAAACATAGAAAAGGCACAAGTCTGATCTGTTGACAAAGCATCCCATAAAGCATCTGAGATGTTGGATCTCCAGTCCTTCTAGTGTTTGAATTTGGAGAAGATTAGATGGTTTAGTTTGCATCCGCTGCGCACTGAGCCCATTGAGATCTACATTGGTGGATTTGACATTCCAAAAAACTCAAAATGCATTTTAACTGCCAGCCTTACCTAAGGTAATAAGAGCAAATTTGGCCTTAGCCTTGGCACTTAAAGAAACACAAAACCAGCATAACTCTCTCGCCATTGAACTAGAGAACCTGCTGCCAAAGGGGCAGTCTAGGGATTGGTCAGACCAGGATTTGACAAATCCTTTTATTGGAAGTTGGAGATTGTTCATGCAAGGCAATGACAAGGGATCATCCTATGACCTTTATGGCAAGAATCCATCGCATATGCCTGTACATTTGTAATTCATATTTGTAATTCAACATCAAATAGAACTGATGTCTATAGTAAAACCAAAAACTCCATGTTACTGCCATCTGATAAACCAGAATGAAGTGAGTACAGAAACCAAAAGCCTTGTAACTTGTGACGTTTGGTCTGCCCTAAATCCAGGTCACGCATTCCATGATCTGTCCGTTCCAAAAGGGCCGTGAAAGAATTGGTCTGACCAGGATTTGATAATGTTTTTTTATGGGAAGTTCGAGACTGTTCATATAAGGCGATCACAAGGGATGGTCCCTAGACTTCATCAACCAGAACAACTTCATGGAGTTCCCTACAAACAGCATCCCAGGAATCTCATCTAACTCTATTGTGGAGGACCTCTTTCAAGTCCTGCTTCTAAGATCCATACCATGGGGAATGTTATTCAATTGGCTCCTGCTTTCCTATAACTGCTTCATCTAGATGAAGCAGTCAAATGGTCAATATGGTGGAAGTGGAGGAGTACCCTTTAGATGAAGAATGCTCTTTTCAGAGTCCAAAGATTATACATCAAGAAAAAGAATACAAAGAGCATTGAAGCGCATATCCAATAAAGTGGAATCTATGGCCTTCTCTTGTGATGAATGTATGGAGGACAGTAGAAGAACTCAATGCTAAAAAGCAGAAGGCAAGAGGTAAAAGAGGACTAAAGAATTTGGCCTCAAACATTAATTATTCTAGTGTGGTTCGTAGCATCCATGCCCAGGAGCGGGAGCATAGGAG